AAGAGACTTCTTTGTAAAACATAAAAAATCTTACTGTTCAAAAACTGTTGACTGGTAGGTTATATAGATTACAGAAATTTTATATTGTAATGTTTTATATATATATATATATATATAACATTTCTATCCCCCTCACTTCTGAAATGATGGCTACGCCCCTGCTTGCACTGCAAAGCGCTTAGGTATGAATCTTGTGAAACATGTATCATGCCAATAGAGATAAAAGCGATTACATCTCATGTTTGCTTTTGTTAAAACTATCGATAAAACCAAACATGCTACACACTGGACATTTCACTTTGAGAATGTCATAAAACCTGCAAGAATCTACGTAATATAATTTTGCAAAAATGTCACCACAAGCATATTTTGCCAGTATTTTTCCAATCTGACGATGCCATATTGAAATCTCTGACTTTGTTGATATCTTGGCAAATTTGAGCACAGTCTAGGACTCTTTTTCTCAGAAAAATACTTTAAGAAACCAGAGACTGTTTCCATTTATTCTTGTAGTCTAGAAGAGGCGATTGAGATATTAACTAAATCTCATTTGTGATTTCTCTTTACTACGATAATGCATACAACACCTTTGCTCCATTCCTCTCCTCCTCATGGTGGCGATACAGGTAGCTAGATGGCTCGGCCAGTGTTTTTGCATTTGACTTCACCTCTGTTTTGTGGCCTTGCTCTCACCCCCCACCGTGAAACTTAAGAGATGGCTAAAATGTCACCGGAGCCATCAGCCGAGAGAACAAAGACTGCTCTGTGGAGAAAATGTGAGACTTTGGCAGACTCGCTCAGCTCAAGTGCGAGTCTACAGCTTGAAGTGGTAGAAAGGTGTTCTCAATTACAGCTCGCTCGGTATTCCGGTATGACTGGAATCCTCCCTTCACCGACACAGACAATTGTCTTATTATGCAGAGTGTATGTTTAGTTTATGCAACGCATTTTCCAGCCCTGCTAATTAGAGCTGATCAATCCACAGTAAAGGAGATTGTTTATATTGCTCATGTGTTTCACATGCCGACTGCCAGGTTTTTACGTAAAACAAGATTGTAGAAATATGTGTGTATATACACATGCACACACCTCTTTAAAATGAATGAATCATCAATAATCATTCTATAAATAAGTGGTGTCTGTGCTAAAGATGACTGGAGTTAATGTTTTTGGGACTTTTATGTTGTAGAGCGTCTACTTTAAAGGGGTCATGAATTGAGAAATCTACTTTTCCTTGATCTTTTGACATGTTAGAGGTCATTGTACTATAAAAACACTGTAAGTTTCAGATCTCCAAACTTCCTTGTTGGTTTAAAAAACAGCTTTTACTGAAACCAAGCTGCCAAAATGACTAATTTTGCTTTATTACATAATGGTAATTAATACTTTAGCGCAAGGCTGGCTGTTTATTTTCAACTACGTGAATGTCTCAGTAGAATTCTTTTCACAATTAGTTAATCTCGGCAGCTGTGACAGTGCAAATGTTGTAAAAAGTGTTGAAAAGTGTCTTAAAAGAGGCACAGGGTAGAAAGTAGCTTTTTATTGGTAAATTATGAGTTTTTTTAAAAAGTGCAAATCTTTACATTATAAAATAAAAAGTTCTATTCATGACCCCTTTAATCACATTTCAATAGGAATGAAGATTTTGTTTGTGCTCTGGAAATGAATAATCCCTTAAACTGAATTGTCTCTATTCAATTTGAATTGGCCATGCTCCACAGAAATGTACTGAATTTTAGTTCAAATAAATTTGACAAAATACATACAGATGGTATTCTGGGAAGTGAAAAGTTCATCCACACTAGGCCATAAATATTTTAACTTTTTAAACTACTTTTTTTCTTTTTTAAACTTTCAAATTCAAATGTCACTTTAAAATTCTGAGTTTGTATTGACAAACTTTATTTTTTATTGTTAAAATGTATAGGGGTTATACGAATTTCTTTGAATTTCCTAATTTAACTTCCTTAAATTTCAAATTTGAATTTATTTCCTGTTTTATACCTCAATATAAATGGAATTCAAAAATGATTCTCTATTCAATTCTGAATGGCACACAGCCCTTCTTCAGAAAAAAAATAATAAATTGCTGCTAATTATATTCTTTTACACATCGGCATGTCTGAAGTAAACATGATAAGTAAAATGATACAAGTACGTTTTAATTTGTCCCTGACAGAATGATTTTGGAGGCCACAGGAGTCTGGTGAACAAATGGACCACCTTCCTGAAGGCCCGTTTAATCTGCTCGGTTCCTGGCCTGAACGGCATCGACACACACTTTGATGAACTACGTAAGTGACCCATGCTATGACAATGCCTTCGTATTTTGCTGTACGTCTCTATTTTGGCATATTTGGTTGACCACTCACTAAATTTTGTTTCGATCGTTTTCAGAGGATGTTTTTCTCATGAGCTCCAAGGATCCCAAAAACCCTATTATCTATGCTGTATTTACAACATCCAGGTATTAAAACATCCAATTTACACCAAATTTCCCACTAAGCCTGAATGCTAATTCTGTCTTTTTGTATTCAGACCTTGATAATTGTGTCTTAAGACCCTGAAGGCAAAGCTGTCAAAAAACTCATAATTGCTGTTTCTCGGGTTTACAGTAACATCTTTAAGGGCTCAGCGGTGTGTATGTACAGTATGGCGGATATCAGGAGGGTGTTTCTGGGCCCCTTTGCCCACCGAGATGGACCCAACTACCAATGGGTACCGTTTTTGGGTCGAGTGCCATATCCAAGACCTGGCACGGTAAGACGGCCAATCAGTGCTGATGCCTTTTTACATTTCACTTTTCAAAATAAAGTGACTTGCCTGCTTGGGTTTGAACACATGTTCTTCTGGATGTTAACAGTGCCCCAGCAAAACGTTTGATGGTTTTGAATCAACAAAGGACTTTCCTGACGATGTTATCACATTTGCCAGAAGCCATCCGGCCATGTACAACCCAGTGTTCCCCATCAACAACCGTCCAATCATAATCAAAACCGATGTTGACTATCAGTTCACACAGATAGTGGTGGACAGGGTGGAGGCAGAGGATGGACAGTATGATGTCATGTTTATTGGCACTGGTGAGTGGAATAGAGTTTTTAAATAATTAGATTTCTGTAATTTTTTAAACCAAAATACTGTATGTAAAGCTCAAGTTAATTCTGTTATTTTTCTACCGTAGACATGGGCACAGTTCTTAAGGTGGTTTCTATCCCCAGAGGAACATGGCATGATCTTGAAGAAGTCCTGTTGGAAGAGATGACTGTGTTCAGAGTGGGTTTACAGAGTTTATTATACTGATTTATTTCTAATTGGTTTATTATTAAGATTTTTTTTCTATCTACTACTACTTTACATTCTACGCTGTAGCATTTTTCCACTAAAACACTCCAAAGGCACTATTTTTAAGCTGTATTATTTTCCCTTTTTCATGCTAAGAAATATTTTGTAATATTTTGGTGATAGACAATATAGAGCATTAAAAACACTTATTTTGTTTACAGGAACCAACAGCTATTACTGCTATGGAACTCTCCACAAAGCAGGTTGGTATTATTAGAACTGAAAACAACTGATCTCTTAATGTAATAAAGATGGTGAAAGCAATTCAAATAAGTGGCAGTACTAAACATAATTCCATTAAGCAAGCCTGAGGAAAAGAGTGAATTTAAAAGAGCAAAATAGGTCTAATACTTTATAGATCACAATAGGTCTTATTCACTTATACTTTTGTACAAGTGGACAGAAATTCATAACATGTGTAAATTTGTTCTTATCCTTGTTCTAACATTGATTAATCCAAATTATTCTGTAAAAAAAAGAAAGAAAAAAAATATATATATGTGTGTGTGTGTGTGTGTGTGTGTGTGTATGAATCACTGCAGTGCATCACTGTTTCCACAAAAATGTTAAGTAGCACAACTGTTAATGATAGTAAATATGTTGTGCACCAAATCAACATTAAAATAGATTTTTCATAATGAATATGATTTCTGAAGGAGCATGTGACACTGTACACTGGAGTAATGGCTGCTGAAGATTTAGTTTTGCCATCACAACAATGGATTACATTTCAAAATATACTGAAATAGAAAACAGTTATTTTAAATTGTAATCATATTTCACAATATTACTTTTTTTTCTGTATTTTTGATCAAATAATTGCATGCTGGGTGAACATAAAATCTTTCAAAAACATTTAAAAAATCTTACCAACCCCAAAAGTTTGAATGTTAATATAAATATAGACATAAAAGTTAAAATAAAATCATTCAGCTTATCACATTCTAACATGTGTTAAGCTGAATTATTTTTTTTAACCACTGTGATTTTTGCAGACATATATCTTGAATTGATCCTAAATATTATCCTAATTTTAAATGCAAACTTGCTAATGAATCATTATTTTTGTGTAAAAATCAATGCTCACAACAAGACCCAATAAGTCTAATATGTGATCTCTGTAAGTGCACAACTAGCATAGCATGTGAGGTTTTTAAAAAATAGTGAACTGGTCAGCCAAGTTAGCACTGGGCGTTTTGTGGGGAAATTGTCATGCTGCACTGCATTTTGTTGACAGAGGTGATATAGACCAGCCAGATTTATCATGTACCAAAAAACCCAGCACAGTTCTCACACTCAGGCTGGGTTACACACTCGTTGCTTGGCCTCAAGCTACATTACGCAGAGCAGGGGCTGCTGTCACAGTCACTCACACAACACGGCAACATGAGGTACTGCCATTAGAGGCCACACATACACACACACCGTCACACACACACCAGCTGGTTTTACACACAGGACTGCAGCGTGAGCTCTCCTTTAGATGGTGTGAATAATCAAGCAGACACTGGGAGGTTATCTGAAGGGATATATAATTAAACAGCTGCGTGCAAGCCCCGAGAAAGTTCCCGTATTCTCAGCGAAACAGTCGTTAACTCGGCGATCTCACCAGCACAGACCATCAAAACTTTGCCATCATTGTTTTAAGTAAGTCTCAATCTCTCTGCTCTATCGTTACAGCAACAGCTCTATCTTGGATCCACCATTGGGGTTTCTCAGATGCCGCTGCATCGCTGTGACGTGTACGGGAAGGCCTGCGCTGAGTGCTGTCTGGCACGTGATCCTTACTGCGCCTGGGACGGCTCGCAGTGTTCCCGATACTTTCCAACTGCTAAGAGGTACGATGAGGAACGCAGAAACACTGCAAAGTTGACCTAAGATGAAGAAGATGCTCTATGAACTGTGTTTTTCCACAATGGGTTTCTGAATTCTTTTGGGTTGCTACTATATCAAAATATATCAAAAACCCTTTTATTTTTTTATTTTTTTTTACAAGTTTTGTTTACATCTAATATTTTATTTTATTTCAGCTGTAAATTAACAAAAACAATTTTTTTCATGCTTTCAGTTAACAATAACAAAACTAGTAGTTGACACAAAAATTAACGCCAAAATGAAAACTTTCTTAGCTACATATTGTTACTAACCTGTATGACCTGTATATCAAAAACCCTTTTATTTTTATATTTTCAGTTTACATTTTAATTTTAGTTTTACTCATTTTGTCATATACTTTTGTCATTTTTATATGTTTCTACTGAGCTTTAATTTATTTTGTATTTCAGTTTTAGTCATTTTAATTCTTCAACTTATTTTAGTCAGTTGCCAATTTTTACATTTTGTTTAAATCTAATATTTTATTTTTTATTTTATTTTATTTTATTTCAGCTTTAAATTAACAAAAGCAAATTTTTTTTATACTTTTATTTAACAATAACAAAACTGGTAGATGACACAAAAATTAACACCAAAATGAAAATTGTCACCATTTATTTAGCCACATATTATTACAAACCTGTATGATCTTTCTTCTATGGAACAAAAAAGAGATGTTTAGTAGAATGTCTAAGCTGCTCTTTTCTGTACATCATAAATACATATATTGGCTAAGGACTGACAAAAGACACAAAAAAGTAAATAAGAAGTACCAAATAAATAAAGACTTCTGCACTACATTCTAAGTCTTCTGAAGCCATACAATACAAACAATTTTAGAAGATTGTTTTTTTTTTAGTAAATACTGACTTCAATTTCTGTCAGCTTCACAAAGCTGTTTTATGTTTATTTTAATTTAAGATTAAGTTTTAGTAATTTAATTTTGTCATTGTTATTAGTTTTTAATATTTCTATTTAGCTTGATTTTTATTTCAATTGATTTTTTATTTTACTAATTTTAGTGCTTCACTTAAACTATATTTCAGTTAGTTTAAATTGTACATATACAACGTACATTTTATTTTATTTCAGCTTTATTTTAAATAGCAAAAGCATTTATTTACTAGTTTTAGTTTCAGTTAATTTAGTCAACAATTAGTTAACAATTTAGTTTACAACAACTCTGCTTGACAGTCCCTGGTAATACTTGATGTATCTCCTGTTGTATTCCTCGGATGAAAGAAAGTCACAGTTTTGGAATAACACGTGCTGATTGAAAAAGATTTTCATTTTTAGGTGAACTATCCCTTTAATGTCAGTTTTACTATTATATTAGAACATCAGAAGTCACAATGCTGTCATTTCATCTTTGAGTTCTTGACCTTATTTGAGGTGTCCATCATAATCTCATTGGATTTCCCAGCTGTCCTTTGTAGCACTTAGGAGCACCACTATCGTTTTCACTGTTTAAGCTCATCTCCTTCGGGCCGTCAAAAGCAAACATACCCCTACTTAATACTTCATCTTCAATTTCCAAAACAGGAACAGGTCAGGTCTCACATTTACAGTCCATGTCATGTTCCAGTAGCAAGTAATATGTTTGTGGACGAGGTTCTCAGAGAGGTTCTTTGTGCGCTACTGCTGCTGAAAAGGCCTCACATATTGCCAGCATTATGGAGTTGCCTCAAAGGTACATTCAGGACAAGATGTCTCAGGACATATGTTGCATGATACGTCTTTTCATAAAGGTTAGAGACTAAACAGCCCAGAGCTGAAACAGGTTCCATTTCAGACACACGTATGCTCATGAGGAGCTGTGTTTGATTTACTTTGAGCATAATATAGTGAGAGCTTTTCTGTGAGACAGATGTGTGTAGGAGTGGATATGTGAGTTTCAGTGTGCTCTCGCTCACCTGCCCTTTCTAATTTTCTGCGATGTGTGTTGTACGTTCGCAGGAGAACGAGGCGTCAGGATATAAGGAACGGAGACCCTCTGACTCAGTGTTCAGATCTACAGCATCACGGTAATACTGGAAGATCTCAGTGCAATCACAAAACATATTTACTACTGTATGTGCAGCAACACACTGTTACTGTGGGTCAATGATTGTACATTTTTATCTACACAGTCCATCATTTTCTGCCAGGTCTTTACATGATAACTTACTGAAATAAATGAACTTTTCCACGACATTCTATTTTATTGAGATACACCTGTATACTACCATTCAAAAGTTTGGAGATTGCATTCAGCAAGATTGTATGCAGATTGTATGCATTACATTTATCAAAGGTGACTATAATGTTAAAAAAGAAAATGTTAATATTATTTAAAATAATTGCTGTTCTGGGGGGGGGGAAATGTATAATGGTTTCCACAAAAATATTAAGCTACACAACTGTTTTCAACATTAATAATATTAAGAAAAGTTTCTTTAGCAGCAAATCAGCATATTAGAATGATTTCTGAAGGATCATGTGAGACTGGAGTAATGATGCTGAAAATTCAGCTTTGCATCACAATCCAACTTGCAGATCTTACTACTTGACATTATGTTATGTGTGATAACATGCTAGCAAGAAAGCAGTCAGGGTCTCATACTTCCCACCACGTCTCTTCATAACATAAAATTCAGGATGTGTGGAGAAACTTACATTTTGAAGCCAAAGATATAATTGCAACTGTTCATAATGGTTTTTAATGAAAGCTCTGCATACATGCTATACATGCCAGGTTAGTGTTTAATTAAAGCTTCTGAAATGAAACACAGCCTAAAAAGGTCATTCTGCTATGTTAATGACATATTTAACTGCTGAGAAACGGTTTCACAGATGTTGCAAAAATACAGGCTCCAGAACATGCACTTCCACACGTCAATGTAGATATACTGTACACTACCGTTCAAAAGTTTATAAGATTCTATAAGAATGCTTTTGAATGAAGTCTCTCATGCTCCTGCATTTATTTGATCATAAAACCAGTAATGTGAAATATTATTACAATCTTAAATATTTTAACGTTTAATTTATTCCTGTGATGCAAAGCTGAATTTTCAGCATCATAACTCCAGTCTTCAGTGTCACGTGATCCTTCAGAAATCATTCTTATATGCTGATTTGGTGCATTTCTTATTATTATCAATGTGTGATCACCCTCATGGAGACCACACACAGATTTCCTGTGTCGGAAACACCTCATTACAGTGGCACCGCTAACCCACAGCACTCCGCTCTGACGTTTCATAGTTTAGACTTAAAAGGATGGCAGAGGAAAATGAGAGACTGAGGAATAGATGCCGCTTAACACAACAAGTGATTTCTTTTTTTGGTCTCTCTTGGCCTTGGATCCCTATAGACCTGAAACATGTTGAGAGACACACAGCTGTGTGATATAGACATGCTGGGTGTGACTTCACTAGTGTGATAGCATATGGTCTGAACTATCAGTTTGTATTCTCACTGCTGGATGCCCTGTCTGTCTCAGAATCAAGATTTCTCACTTCTTTCTCTTTTGTTTCCCTGTCTATTTGAGCAGATGAGGCAGACGGAGAGAGGGGTTTGCTGGATAAGACAATGTACGGGGTTGAAAACAGCAGCTCTTTTCTGGAGTGCAGTCCTAAATCCCAGCGTGCCCTTATTTACTGGCAATTTCAGAGACATGGAGAGGACCGCAAACAAGAGGTATGTTCTGTTATGTATACAGTGGAGGCCAAAAGACCAGTTATCAGCATAACAATTTAAGTAAAAAGCTGAATTGAAAAATTAACATCATTTTAGAGTTCTTAGGATTTGGTTTGTCCCTCTTTTACTCAAATGACAGCAGCGCTTGAGCCGCATGGACATCGAGCTGTTCATACCTGATGATCATGATCTCCAGCATGATTTAAAAATGATCCATCAAGGAAAGAGCATCATGTGCTTTAATGGAAGCAAAAACATCTGACCTTGTACTGGAGTTCACATGATCAGTGTTACATATGTGCTTATTTAAATAACCTAGAAATAGAATCTAAATAGAATTTCTCATTCATTTTATTTATTTATTTACGTTATTACCTTAAATTATTTTTTAAAATTCCTTTCACACAAAAAAGAACAAATAAATGTATGACCAATGGCTGTTTGAACAGAAAAAGCACATTGAATCTGACTTTTTCAATGTCCAGTTGATAAATAAATCAAATACAAATTTGATTTTTGCAATTAGATCAGTTAAATATCAGGTCAGAATTCATGCAAGCTTTCCATCAATCTTACTCAAAATTCCTCAGAATTGTGTGATTGATTTACCCTGATATACTGCACTGTATGTATTCATAATTGTATTGTACATATTCATAATTTTAGAATTTAGACAGAATGGTGCAAAATTATTTGTTTAAATATACATGGATATGCATTACATATCAAATGTTGTGAAGTTTAAAAAAAGTCAAAATATTAATGCTAATGTTTTCTTTTTTTTAAAAGTTGTATTCCATGCTGTAACACAATTTGATATTGGATTAAATTATGTCGATCAACATGCTGTCACAAATGTTGATTTTTATAATTTGGTGTCAGGTATGGATCACATTACAAAAGTCACATAAAGAAACTTATATTTGACAAGAATCAGGCACTGTTGTTGTCAATGATGTTTACAGTACTCAAAACATGTGAGCTGATCACATGTCTACGTGTTTTGTTTAGATAAAGTCAGGTGAGCGGGTGTTGGGCACAGAACAGGGTCTGTTGATCCGAACCCTCCATCAGAAGGACACGGGTGTGTATTACTGCCACGCTGTCGAACACGGCTTCATCCAGACCCTCCTCCGCCTCACACTCAACGTCATTCCCACCGAACACCTGGATGACCTCCTGCACCGAGACACGCCCGACAGCAACGACCCGGCCAACGGCAAGATGTGGTACCGCGACTTCCTGTCCCTCATCAACCCACCGAGTCCGAACAGCGTCGACCAGCTCTGCGAGCAGGTTTGGAAAAGAGAACGGAAACAGCGTAGGCAGAAAGCCAATCTGCTGCACACCAGCCAATCACACGCCAGCCAGCTCATCCACTCCAGCCAATCACACACCAGTAAGTGGAAGCTGCTACAAGAAAACAAGAAAGGACGCAATCAACCCAGCAATTGGGTTGTTTTGACCCAGCGGTTGGGTTACTACCCAGAAGGTTGGGTTAAACATTTAACCCAACCGCTGGGTCAAAACAACCCAAATGCTGGGTTTGTCCCTATTTTACCCAGCACTGGGTTGTATTTAACCCAGCATTTTTTAGAGTGCACTATAGAGAGTATATGACTGTTTTTCAGCTGAAGAATAATTCTGTTTATGGCAATATTAACTGCTAAAAAGGAGTTTAGATTTTCATTTTTGCATTTTATGTGACATTCAAGGCCATATTTGAAGTCAACATGGAAATATAGTATGTCTGGAACACTTTATGCTACTATAATGTGACATTTCTGAGTGAAACAGCATTAATCATAATTTTATACATTTTAATCCACAAAGAAGATGTCAGAAAATAAAACGATCAATTTCTATCAATCTTATCAAATAAAATAATAAACATAATATAATGTTTATTATAACGTCACAAAAGTTTTAACCAATGGGTGGCGCCATTGTTACACTCCTCATATATTCGTAGCTTAGAGACGTTTTAGAGATTTTTACATTTCATTACATTTTTAAGAGGGATTACGAAAACAGACTATTTTTTTTTCCTTGGAATAACTTATGGACTTAATCATGAACCATGCAATAAGACCAAACACTTGTACTGAGAGAGTAAATGGGGTTGGTTTTGATTTTTTGTTGACTTTAAATATGAGAGGGCAAAGGAGGACACATTGTTATATAATATCCCGAGTCTGTCCCTTGGCTGAGGAAGGGACAGCTGTGTGACTGGAACTGCTGGGATCAGAGACAGAACACAGCTGGGACCGGACTCACAGACTCCTTGAGAAGTCCTACTTTCACCGAATTAGTTTTATCAAGTCATTTTTGACCCTTCTTGTTGAGGCCACACACACGCTCACACCTACAGCACACATATATCTGAATGTAGCTGTGAACATATAGACTATTTATGGGGGGTACAAGAAAACAAGAAAGGACGCAATCGCAGGACCCACGAGATGCAGCGGGTGCCCCGCAGTGTGTGACATGGACTCTAAATAAAAAAGGATGAGGAAATCAAACAGACTTCTGCTGAGACTGGAGACAGGAAGAGCGGAATTCCACTTCCTCTAGTATGTGTGTGAGAGATTTACTTATGAACCAGAGCACGTCTTCATTCACACGTATTGAGACTCGAACTCTGAGAGGATGTAACAGGACACAAGATGCTAACAGATACTGAAATACCTGTAAATATGACATAAATACAAAAATATACTGTGAGACAGGTTTCAGTCTGTATAAAAACCTTGTTTCATTTTATGAGGGACAAAACATGGATGCTGAAAGACCACTGTTTAACCTCCATTTAGCTGAAGCACAATCCCAGTGCATTCTGGGTAATGAACTTGTCAGTGATATTCTGTGTATAGAGTGTGTTGACCTTAACATATACTGTATATCTTTGTATCGGAACGGTAGGTCCTTCTGTTTATGTACGTATTCATTAATTAGAATTGTTCTTTAGGCGAATTAGTTTTATCAAGTCATTTTTGACCCTTCTTGTTGAGGCCACACACACGCTCACACCTACAGCACACATATATCTGAATGTAGCTGTGAACATATAGACTATTTATGGGGGGAAAAAAATGGTCCAAAATATATGCCACTGTGTACAAACTGCATGTGAATTTACAGCACCACTCATTTCTATACTAGTTTACAGTAGCTGCTCTTGTTAATGAGTGATTTGTCTGGCGTTGGATTCCAGGTGGTGCTTAAAATTCTAATAATGACAGATGGTGTTATCGACGGGTATAATTTCTGCCTGATGAATTGCCTCCCTTTGTAGCTAAATGTATAACCAACAGGAAACCGCTGTAAATGAAATTATTTCAGATGCAAAACTCAACAGTATGAACTCGGTTGGCTGGCTCAGTTTGAATGGACATCGGGCAGAAAAGGTCACCTGCCTTGCTTAGACCTTTCACAGGGACTCTCCTGAACTGGAAACGAGGGACAAAGACATGAAAATGCTGCTGTAAAATATTAATTTCTGGCATGCATTCTGCTGTTCAAATAAATGTCTCTTCTAAAGAACCTGTTTCTGAGGGCTGGACCGCTGGGTGCATTCTTGTTTCTGATTGCCTTGGCAGTGCCGTTGTGATCTAGGTCCTCTGGCCGCTGCACCTGGGGCCCTGGGCCCAGGGAAAAATTCTCCGTCTTGTGTTATTAGTCTTTCCTCTCATGCTGGAGTTCAGGGGGTTCTCAACCATGAAACTCGTGATACTGCTGAGAGAAGCAAAAGCTTAATGTTCAGGGTGAAATTACTGACACAATAATCCATGTAGAACAATACAATGCCATTTAATGATACATGATGAAGTTGAGCAAGGATTCTATCTATCTATCTATCTATCTATATATCTATCTATCGATAAATAAGATTTTTATATTACAATTATAATATTAAATAAATACATTAAAAATGCAAAATCAGGGATGGATTAAATTAGCCTTCCTCCTTATTAACCAATCATCATCAACTGTAACTTTTCTAACCAATCAACTTTCATTATCTGTTTAGCGTCATCGTGTCTGTTTATGGTGAACGCCACAGGTGCAAGTGTGGCTGCAATATCCAAAATATTCGACAATAAAAAGTGAAATATGGAATAACGGTGGCTTTATCATAGTGAAGGACTGGAAAATGGACTTTCTACACACAGATAAATCGATGTTAGATGGAATGGGGCTCTCCATTCGTTTATGAATGTTTGTGTGGGTTACATTCTGTAGTCTAGATGGGACTGCTACGTTTACTGTAAGTTGTTTCCTTCATTTATAATCGTGACAGCGTTGGGTCTTTTGATCGGAAAACAATATAACGCGTCATTATCAAAATTATTTTATTACGCCAGGGGTGTATTAGGCTATCTGTGTATTGGGCCGTATTTATCAACAAAAGGTAATTAAATAAGGGTGCAAATTATTCAATGAATTGTTACATGTTTGCAGGCTATTTTCTTTCATGTATGGGAAGTTGATGTCACGTCTCATCCATTACCACAACACATCACTTTGCTATGCATGCCTAAGATCTGCTTTGACATCGGTTCCATTTGAGATCGAGTGTGAATACAGTAAATTGGATTTTTGTAAGCACAACCTTATTCGCCTGCCTGAAATTCTCACTGGAAGAAAGATGCTTAATGTTAGACCACTTTGCTGCAAAAGTTAGCCTTCAGTTGAACAAACTGAAATGGCATTTTCTTGTGAACTTTGAAAAACTTACAAAAATATTTACAACTTTGAAAAATGTTTTTGAATATATTTCTTTGACACACAACAGAAGAGTTTCCTTCCATAGCAAAAAATGTAATATGTACCTTGAGGTCCAAAACCTATGCTTGAACACAGGCACTTCTATGGCATCTCGATTGTAAACATCATGAAATATGTCGGAGCGCAATTAATAATGCCAAGGAATATAGCAGCTCAGGTTTTGGACATTTTCCGCAGTAAACTGTAAAGATCTAGTTTTGGTTATTGTAAACAAATCAAAAGACATGTCTGCCATCTGGTTGTAGAGTTTGGTACTGCATTTACCGGTTTAAAAATCCAGAGCTTGCCATATAGAGTTGATTTACCACTAGGCCATCGCAGCTAAATGACTCTATAAACGCATTTATAGCATTCTGTAAATCCAGCTATACCCAGCTCATCTGTTTGTAGGTGAGGGTAAAAATGAACTAGGTATCGACTGAAAGCGTAATAATGATTGTTTTCCCTTATGGACTTTTGAACTCACTCACGCTTAAAGGTGACGGCTGGTCATGTATAGTGTCTAGAGGTCAGAGGTCGTTCTGATTACCCTACAGACTGCTCTGTGGACACAGATGTTTGTCGTAAATGTCCATATCTATGAACGAGTGCATTAGTGGTTGTGTGATGAATGAACTGGGCAGGATTCCATGGTGCAGACCATTGACACTGAGAATATATGCCCAGAGCGCAGTAATTTGAAGTTTTCACCTTTGGGAGTGCTTCAAACCAAATGAGCCTGTGTGTCCCATGGTGTGTTGAGGCATATGTTCTACATGCACTGCAGAATGTGTGTGTGACACTTAATCCAGAAGGCCTTGCGGAGCTTTGGACAGATGTGTAATACTATAGAATATATAACAGAAGGCCTAGGTTTATAATTTAGAACTAAAGTACGTGTCATTTGTGGTCTACACTGCCACTATAAGCAAAACAAACTATTAAAACACTATTTGTCTAACTTTATTAAGCTCAGAAAAACAGGATGCCAAAATGTTTACCAGCTGAATGCCCTCTGTGCCATCATCTTGTAAAAGATGTTTGCCTGAAGAACGTGTCTTAGTGTCAGGATTGTTTACACTGCTTTATCAAAGAGCGTGAAAGCCTGTACAGCCCTCTACGAACACCTTGGCAATTGAATCGCCATTGGCTAGTAAATTTTTTTGTTTACTCGCCAGACTGATAAATATATACATACACATATACACACACATACACATACACATATATATACACACACACATATACACACACATACACATACACATACACATACCAGAGTGAAGATTTAGTCGCATATGCGAGTGATTTACTCGCAATGTAGAGGGTTGCTGTATATAAGATTATTATGGTTCAGAGACAGCAGCACGCTTTAATGGAATATTCCTTCAATGCCTTTCTAACACATGCTGGCTATAGGCCTATATGGATAAGTGTATATGTTTAGTTATTGATATATTTGTATTTTTTCCCCCATTTATTCCCTTTATCTTTATACGTAGATGCTGTTTGCACTGCCTTATATGCTATGCCATGATGTAGCTGTTATAATAGACATTTTGGCCATTTATTTATCAATGCTGGATGCAATCTTGCATTGCTTCGTGACTCTATGCTGCCCTCTGGAGGGATTCTTGGAAGTATAGTTACATGTTCAAATGTAGTCAAACTGTAGTTTGTGTTTTACTGTACCACCAAGATGCATTAGCTTGCTGTATTTAGGGTAATATATAGGCTAGTGTTATTATATAAATAATTAATGTAAATACAATCAAATTTGTGCCATAACATGCAACATGTTAAATGTAATCTTTAGCAAATCTCAAAATGAATGTCTATTTTTCATACAGTACAGTGTGATATTGCGATGTCTGAGTTCATGTGTAGCGTTTAAAATCATTGATTTTAGTTTTTAGTTGTCTTTTTAAATTGGTTAAGACGAAATAGTATGTAATTGCTTCAATTAAAAAGAGGGCTTGTTACATTTTAGAAGACGTTGTGGTTTTGTGTTGGATTAGAAGAGAAGACATCCTGTGTGGGTTTTGTGTTTTGGTGTTTATTTGTCACTGAGCTCTAAATTAAGTCTAAAACACACACACACCCCTATATATATTTAGTGATTTATTTACAGAAATCAAGATACATTATTTTAGGATTCTATGATGAATAGACAATTCCATTGCAATCTTCTGTAACAATGTCTTTACTGTCACTTTTGATCAACTTAATGCATCCTTGCTGAATAAAACTTAATGCATCCTTTAGATCACAGGTCAGAGATCAAGCCCTCCTGCTCTGGTATTCTTATCACACATGTGGAGATGTTCAGTGAGGCAGATAGACAGCCAGCAGAGGGGAACCAGGACCACGGTGAAACACCAGACACCGTTTGAGTGTGTGTCTGTTCAACGCCAATGTGAACAAGACTGATTGCTTCAGTGTCATGGGTGACATGAGCTAGACACCTGCAAAAACTAAAACATACCACATTCTTGCTTAAATACTAAGTGTTACTGTCCTTCTACCCCCCTTTTATTCAGCAAGGATGCATTAAGTTGATCAAAAGTGACCGTAAAGACATTGTTACAGAAGATTGCAATGGAATTGTCTATTCATCATAGAATCCTAAAATAATGTATCTTGATTTCTGTAAATGACAGTAATAAGAAATATTTCTTGAGCAGCCAATCAGCATCATGTGACACTGAAGACTGGAATAATGATGTTAAAAAATTCAGCTTTGCGTCACAGGAATTAATTCCATTTTAAAATATATTCAAATAGAATATATATATTTTTGCAGTGTTTTCGATCAAATAAAATCAGACTTGATGAGCATGAGACATTTAAAAACAAAAATTCTACTGTTGAATGGTAGTGCATTTATACTTCAGTCGCTTTCTTTAAATTTACTGAAAATGACGAAGCATTACAAACCTCAATCAAACCAATCCCACAATCCTCTCTGATGACTAGTGGTTCAAGTAACATTGCTCTCAGGGCTGTTGCAAGCATTGTAAGTGTGTAATGAAATGTTATTCCAGCATAATGCCTCATTTATTCATTTCACTCAGATGATTCTATTTGCCCGTGTTTAAACTGGCACGTACCTATAGAGACGGCGAAACACACCCAGGTGAGGCTCTACAGCTGTTTGTTTTGAATTTGTATTGGCTTATCTCCTGGTTGGCGCTGTGTATGGGCATTATTCTGTCACGGTTTCTGGGTTTGGCAGAAACTGGCACGTACCTATAGAGACGGCGAAACACACCCAGGTGAGGCTCTACAGCTGTTTGTTTTGAATTTGTATTGGCTT